ATTGTCGCATGATATCGATTCGCACGACGGATTAGCGCAACAGTTACGTAAACGCGCTCGGCACGAACTTGCCCGTTGAGTGTGCCTGCCGCGTGAAACAGAGACGATGGGACGAGGTTAATGACAATATGTCAGGCTCCTCCCACGCGTCGGCCGCCACTGGCCCATATAATTATTATTCCGACACTAACACGCACGCGCGGGACCATTTAATTTTCCATCGGTGGGCAGGCTTTTTTGCGCGGAAAAACTAGCCGGGTGTTTCTATCCGGTTCTTTTTCCTTGTATTTTGATATCGTTTCAATGTTAACTGTTTCATCTTTGGGTATAACAATGAGTACTACGGTATTTCTATTAATTCAATATTTCCTTGGAAACAAATAAACGACACAGTTTGTTTCAATAAATTAATTGTCGAATGATGACTTGTGAGTTAAACAATCTACAAAAAAATAATGATTCTTATGTTTTCTAAATTTTTTGTATCGAAATAGAAGCGGGTTCTGATATTCTATGAATTTTTATTTATTAATATTTATCTTGAACGCTATTATCCTGCGGATACACTCACCGCAGCGACATAGGAATTTCTATTCACCGGTGATAAACACAAGAATTGACCTTCACGCGTGTCGGTCACTGGTAGCCGGCGCAGTAATTTACGTTCACACCAGCGACGGTCACCGGTGACCGGCATAGTAATATCTGTTCGCCGGTAACAAACACAGGACTTAACGTTCACACAAGTCGGTCACCGGTAACCGGCGCAGGAATTTCGTATTATATCTTTTTCAAAACATATATTAAAATTGATCTATGGTGCAACTAGCAATGGAAAATTTCTGTGATGCCCCCCTTCCCTCGATGCCCCAATCACGTGCTTATTTTCTATAATCCCAGCCCTTAAGTCAAATGATAGTTTAGTAATCTAGGGTTAAATAAAAGGGAGTTCTAGAATTTTTTAGTCATCTAGACCGTCGACGTATTAATATCCAAAACATGGTTCCCGGCCGATCCCTGTAATACACCCGTGTTGTTCGGGCAATTATGGGCCGTGACGGTGTGTGTACGTTAGACCGTCTGGTAGTATTTAACCTCGTGTGCACAGGCGGACGGACGGACGGGTGCGTGCGTGCGTGTGGTTGGCGTAGGATCGTTGCGCGGCGCGCACGTTCCGCCGGCTCCCGGGTGTAAGTTGGCCCGCTCACGCGAACCGTGTGCATCGGCCGCAGCCGCCGCCGTTTCACGCACACGTTCGTGCCACACACCGCCACTCAAGGCCGTATCTGCATCCTGCTGCAATTCCCAGCCGCACCGCGCGCCACCGCCGGCGCTATTACCGTCGGAAAATCCACCGACGGGTTCTCAGACGCGCATCGGGGCCGTGGAAAAAATGGGAAACTCTTTAAACCTTGACGGGACAGCACCTGTGCTTTGGCGCGGCGATCTATCTCGCGGGGTGGGGATTGCGGAAGAGACGATGCTTCTTGCGAGATTGTTTTTGAAAATAGTCATTTGCGGAAACGTACCAGACGGGTCTGCTCGTGAATGAAGATTCAGACGCGGCTTGGGATCGAATGGGATGTAGTTGTTGAAGATATTGGTGGTTGAATAGAGTCACGCTTGGATAGATTGATGTTTGGACAGATTGCTGTTTGGGTAGATTGATGTTTGGATCGAGTAACGTTTGGGCAGTGTAATGTTTGGACGGATTGATGTTTGAGTAGATTTATGTTTGAATAGGTTGATGTTTGGACAACTTGGCGTTTGGGTAGATTGGCGTTTGGGTAGATTGATGTTTGAGTAGATTTATGTTTGGATAGATTAATGTTTGGATCGATCGACGTTGGGCAGTGTAATGTTTGGACAGACTGATGTTTGAGTAGATTTATGTTTGAATAGGTTGATGTTTGGACAGCTGGGTGTTTGGGTAGATTGATGTTTGGATAGATTGATGTTTGGATAGATTGATGTTTGGATAGATTGATGTTTGGACAGCTTGGTCTTTGGGTAGATTTAGGTTTGGGTAAATTGATTGTCTGGATCGAGTACGTTTGGGCAGTGTAATGTTTGAGTAGATTTATGTGTGGATAGATTGATGTTTGAGTAGATTTATGTTTGGATAGATTGATGTTTGGACAGCTTGGTGTTTGAGTAGATTTATGGTTGAGTAGATTGATGTTTGAATAATTTCACTAATCGCATAATTTTCTAAGAAGGAAAAAGGAACAATGTTAATGATTGGAGGACGTCAATTTCTATTCAGAAAGAACGAAAGTATCGTCGAATTAGCTCGTGATTAGCTGACACGTTTCACATAAATTTTCCACGAAATGTGTCGTTCCCATGTGGGCTACGACATCAATTGCGAAATGGAATCGACAATCGAGGGGGGTTTCTAAGCGGTTTTTGGCGCGATATGGGTGTTTTGTTTACGGTCGACTGCCGGTCGCCGATTGAACCCGCATGCCTATAATGGCAACGGGAAGATAACACCGTAGCTAGGGAAAAGTACGTACGTATTACCATAATGTGCACGCCGTTCTGACGGCCGACGGTATTTAGCATTCCATTTGACACTTTATTTCACCTTGTGGCGAGTACTTTCTAATCGTGTACAAGCAATAATCATACTCCAATTATTTATTATAATGAATAATTTTAGCGAGCAGTCAATTGAATATAATTTACGACAATTTATCAAACATGTTATAAATGGTGGAAAACAATTTTGTATTATTTCCCCCATTATAATTGCAAAATACTTAAGCATTTCTCTAATTATTTCTATACCGTGATAGATTATTAGACTTCGGAGAATTGAAATGAATTCTGATACAGCACTGTTGATCCATATTCATGTAATCCAATTAATTCGGTTGTAAATGGTAATCGGGCATTTATTTCCTACAAAGTGAATAAAAAGACGCAAGATAGCGTGGAGGATCGTGAAAGTTAGGAAAAAAGCTGAACAAATTAATGATCACTGACGACTGTCATGTGAAAGTGGAATCTGTGAATGGCAGAGGAGAACACGAAAGAAAAAGACCAAGGGCGACACTGCCCCGCTCATGCGAAGAAAGTCAAACGATACATTCAGATAGAATGTTATTAGCGCCCTGATCGATAATTTCGACCAATAAAACGATAGTCGCATGTACAACGGGATGGAAATCGAGGCAGAAAAATGGCACCCTTTGAACAGAAACGAACCAATTAATACTTGTCATCCAACAGGCCTCGTGCCAATTCGCTTTCCCCGAAAAAATGTGTGGAATATCCAATTAGGAGGACAATTTTATCAAACAAAATAATACAGTTCAAGATAGGTTCCATTTAGGTTAGGTTTAGACTCGATTAAGGCTTCCCCTAGATCTAACGTTGATTAACTCTTGCTAGATGTAATAGAATCGACCAAGAACTGATTAGGTCAGCTTTCTTTTCTAAAATCTCTTTCCAAGTTATGTTCAACTAGGGTTTGGTGAAGCCAACAACAAGGTTAGGCTTCGGCTAGAGCGAAATTCGGTTAGGCCCTAGCTAGGTTTGGGTTAGGTCCAATACGTGGACAATTTCAGTTACGTCCCCGTTCAACTTGGTTTGTCTAGTTCTATATTCAGCTAGATCTGGATTAGTCGTAAATTCAGTTACGTTAGATTTTACAAGTCCACGATAATAAAACTAATAATAACAATCCTAATAATAATGCGAACGATGACACCTGGAGTCCGCAACTGGCGATCAGATATTCACCGAGCGTGCGGTCGCGCTTCTTTCTGCCGGTCGCATCGTCAGCGAGAAAAAGAGAGTGCAACGTCGACGAGTAACCGGACGTGACGTCACCGGTCACGTTCTCCTCTCACGTAACCCCCTCCACCCTTCCCGCCCCCCTTTGTCTCTCGTGTCCACTTCCGTCAATGCAAGTGATTGCTTGCACTACTGCCATACTGCACCGTTCTCGCGTGATGCGTCAATACGAAAGCGCGTTTACTCGAGCATCTTTGAAAATCCACGAATCACGTTTTCGTGAATCACTTTCGAAACTGAAAAATACCCCGACCTTGAAATGACGCGAAAACAATTGATTAGAGCCTGTAGGAATGTAAAAAATTATAACAGTATCTCCTTTTTAATAATCGGTTTTAGTGCGAGGAGGAAAACGAAACAAAATATATGGGTAACCAAGCTATATGACCATGTTTCAGACCAACAAATTTGAAGATACTTGTGACTTTTGAACATGAAGGTACTGTTAATCATGAAAAAACATGTTGATATTATTTTAAAAAAATGATACTGACAGAAGTTTATGACATAATTCACCCTGGAGGATTGTAAGGGTCTGAAGACCGAAACTTTTTTGTTTGACTTTCTTGTCTAATTGAAGAGAAAGCATGATGATTGCGAGACGCCTTCTGCCGCGGAGAAATTCAGCTGCAGTTTTCGCATCGGGATATCTTTCCTGCTGCCAAATGAGGCCTTAATAAGTTCGAGTTAACCGCTGGGCCCTTTTTTTCGTGGAGGCACGAAACTTTCGGGATAAATAGCCGGCGAGGCACAAAAGCGACCGAAGTAATATTCAACGGGAGTGTAGAGCCTCAATGAGTCCGAAACAAACGGACGAAATTCTTAAATATTTCTCATCTCATTGCTTCCCTTTGCCCGACTTAACGAACTGAATCCATCCGCCGCCAAACCGAAAAGAATATCTTCTTTCAAATTAAACCGATCTCAAGACTATTACCAAAGAAACAGAACATCCTTAACAAACCTCTGCCATTCTATTATTCCGCGATCTTATGCACTAAATTAATTCAAAACCACTGATAAATTAAAAAAAATCTAGCCTACGGTATCCACAACAAAAATTTGCATACGAGTCACTACTGACTCCGGCATCGGCTTCCTCACCATTATCAACCGTTCGAACGTTAAAATCGTCAAAGTCGATACTGAATAGTATCAAAGTCAGTAACACAGAGATTCACAATGTCTTCACTTACCTATCTTACTGTTGGGACTGTAGGGATCGTAGCTGCTGGTGCTCATGGGGCTAGCGTAACCGTTGTTGCTGGCAGGTTGTTGTTGCTGATGGGCCAGCGGGCTGGAGTGGGCCAACGGGGGTTGCTGCTGCGACTCAGCCAGTTGTTGCTGGGGATTCGTGTATACCACGTGTTGGGTCTGCAGCGTGGCGGATGGTGACCCGGGACTATTGGTAGCCAACCAGTCGTCGGATCGTGAGTTTTTCGCGGCGCTGGCTATGCCAGCGAACATGCTACTGACCGCGGTGACCGGTCCAGTGACCGACGTGGTCGTCGTCGAGGTTCCGGCCAGGTGTTCCGGTGCCTCGGCCTTGACCAGGGTCAAGGACGCCGCTCCAGCGACCACTGAGGCGATCGTCCCGACACCCGCCACCACCCCACCGGCAGCCGTCACTCCGTTCGTCGTCGTGTCCATGCTGGAGTCGCTGGCGTCCATGCCGGACGCGGCTGGATCGGCCTGTGCTAACCTGGAAGTGGCTGCCAGCACGACACCCCCGGTGCCAACCACTCCCGACGCCTCATCGTAACGCACCGCTACGTTGCCGCTCACTAAGCTGGCCACCGTGACGGGTCCTAGGCTCACCACTCGGTTCACCTTTCTTCCTTCGGAACCCTCTTCCCAATCCTGGCTCCCCTCCTTAGTTGGGGTCTCCCTAGGTAGCTTGACACCGAAGCTTTCTGGGCCCGTGTCGTCTTTCTCTCTTGGAAAGGGTGTCTCGGTCCTTTCCCTTGCGATTTATTCCACGATAGGCAGTGGTTTCCACCGAGCAGACCCAAGGGATGATACTATCCACGGGAATTGTAACAATCACTGGTTATACGGCTTCAGCCAAGTGCTCGATCCTCTAATCGTTCTTGAATGATACCTAGAGGTCTTCTGGTCTGTGTCGCTATGGGTATCCCTCCCTGGTTAATCCGTCGGTTTGTATTATTCTTCTTCTATGGCTATTATGCGCACTTAGACTCTGTATTACAAACGGCCGCGACTCGTCCGACTGTTTCCGTAGACTTGTGCTCGTCGGGTCACGGGTGGGGCCAAAAGGGAGTGGAGTCCACGTCTACCGCATCTTGACACGCGCCTCGTACCTTGGCTGCTGATGCATAATGGTCGGGGTCGAGTCGTCGACGGTTGCTGGCTTGAGGTATCTGGAACAGAAACGGATGGACATGTTAGTTTCGTGATGGGACATATGGGGGTGTTAAGACAAATCCCAGTTATTGGATTGGTCATATATTAATTCATTTACTTCCATACTTGCTGTCAGTGTCTTAGGCACTTGGAATAGGTCTATCGGTCTGATATGCCCTTATAACGTGCCTTGATACTTTACGACCCTAGACCTAGGATATAGTCTAAGGATATAGACCTAGATATTAGTCCTAGAATCCTAGTACTAATATCTTGGCTCTAAAGTTTTAGCAATTTTACCCCAGTGTAGTTATACGAATTATGGACTCCAACAATGACAAGCAAGAAATAAGCTGATGGCCTTAATACTTTATGATCCTAGACCTAGGACCTTAGTCCTATCAATTTTAGCCCTAATGCAGCTATACCAGTTATGGGCCCCAACAATGACAAGCAAAAAATAGGCTGAATGCCTTAATACTTTATGATCCTAGACCTAGGACCTTAGTCCTATCAATTTTAGCTCTAATGCAGCTATACCTGTTATGGACCCCAATAATGGCAAACATTAAAATAGGCCTTGACACTTTATAATCTTAGTCCTAGCAATGTCAGCTCTGGTGCAGCTACACCAGTTACTAACCACAACACTAAGAAACATAAAATGGACATACTAGTAACAACTTCTTAATATTTATCTGTAACTTTCACACGAATTCAAAAAATCTGAAGGATCAAGAAAGACATTCTTGCACTCTCTAACCTCTCATTACCGCACAAATGCGATTATTCAACTGTGTCTTGGGGTTCAGTGTACCCAGACCTAGCAATCTCGCCTTGATACCACATCAATTAACAGCGAAAGATAGTCTCATTACGATCTTGATAAGTTATCGTTAGTTATTTTTAACCCTGGCCTGTCTGGATCTTACCGGATCGCATCAAGCGTCGGGCGAAATGAAATTGGTCCGCGTGTTTTAGATGATCTCAACCGATTATGCTGGATCAACGGACAAAGAACTCGAATGATCTGGATACCCTGAAATGACGTTTGGACGAGGATGACACACCGCGCGATGTTGCTTTCAGGGGAAAACGTTCAGGAACGATCGGAGAGCGTCGCCGGAGGTCCGTTGCGCCACGCAATTTCCGAGCGGAGAAATCTCGGGTAATGATACGCTTCAATGATCGGAGGAACAGCAGCGGCCCCGATGGAACCGGGGGAGTAGTTCCATGGATATTCTCGGCTCTACCATCTAAACTTTCAGCCGCGTGAAACACGCACCGGCCGCGCCAATAAAACTCTTCTTCGAGCCCCCCCCCCCCTCGCGACAAGGAGCGTCGCGCGTGGTGGCGTCGTAATTTTGCGACCGCAGCAACGGCCGGAACCGTTCTGATAACTTAATGGCCGGCTTTGATTTTATTCGTAGGAAAAAAGCAGACCAACACTTGTGACGATTTTTCGTTTTTTTGTGAAGAAATGGAAGGACGCAGATTTTTCAAGATTTTGTTTGGTCTGCTCCATTGGTCCATACTTAACCTCTGCGCACTGTTTCGGTCATTTCAAGTCTAATCGAGTCACGTCAAGTCAAGTCAATTTAAGTCCAGGTAAGTCAGTTGAAGTCAAATCAAGTCAAGTCAGTTTAAGTTGAGTCAATTTAACTGAAATTAAGTTACCTCAGTCTAAATCAAGTTAAGTCACTTTAAGTAAAATCAAGTTAAGTAATTTTAAGTCAAATAAAGCTAACCAGTTTAGGTCAAGTTAAATCAAGCTTATTTATGTCAGTTTAAATCAATTGAATCAATTGTAATGCAAATGCAAAAAAACTGTATTCTTCAATGTTGTAATAAAGTTAAGTAATTTTTATTACATTTACAACTTTTGTCCATTCATCTGATTAGAATTATCTCTTGCCAAATAATTGAGAAAGTAATAATTACTTTTTCGATTAACATATCAATACTTAAAAGTAGCTTAATAGTCTTTTTTCTCAATTTAGAATTAATCCTCGAAGAATCTGATTTCTATCAGAAGTAATATCATTTTAAACAACTATCATGTTGATATCTTATCCATAAATCTTTTGTCTTTAAAGTAGAACGTTAGTGTATTCCTGTACACTGTTTTAGTGTCTTAATGACACACTTTTTGTGTCGTCTGACACAACCCACTTGGTCAAGAAGAGTGGTTACAGAGGACCGTGTGCTGATCCAACACCGTTCAGTAGACAAACACACCGTGGAAATTATGTAGTTAAGAAGGAACAGGTTTGCAACAAGGTAGAGGTGACGTTTAAGAGACGAGCCGGCTGGAACAATGCAATTGTAAATTGATAGGATGCTCGGCCATTGTAGGACGCGTTTTTATCAGCGGCAAGGAGTGAAAGTGGCTGTTAGTTACGTAAAAGATGAGTGCCAATTCACTCGTCGTTTGCGACTTGTCAAATGAGGCTAAAGAGTGGCTGATGACAGGAGAAATTGCATTTCTATAGTATAATTCATTAAAATCCTGATCAAATCTGAGATTAGTATTTCTTCCAAATAAACAGATTCTAATTCAATAGAGTACACCTCAATATCCATCAATCATAAATACTAATAACTATTCAGAAGTCAACGAAAAGACCACACTAATGAAAATTCTCTGTATTAATTAAAAGAGCCACAAACCTCCAATGTGTCCAGCTGATACTATAACTATTCCAGTAGAACACAGTTTACTATCTTCAGAGTCAAAAAGTTAATAAATAGTCAACACAATCACTATCAGCGAATACAGTCAGGATCCTCAGATCGCTCAGACACTATAATACTCCAGTAGAACACAGTTCCATATTCACAAATCATAAATTGGGACAACTATTATAAAAAAATCCATCACCTCCAATGAATACTCCCTGTCAAAACTAGAGGATCATCAAACTCCCAATGCTACATATTCCAGACCCAAGTTCAACATCCACCTCTAAGTCCAAACAGTTGACACAGTTTCACACAATAAACACTGTAACACTAAATAAAATTCAAACGAGTACGATCCACAAATCCCTAATTAATCCACGTGATAGGACACAACTCCAGTACAAAAATCAACATTCACCAGATACCCCAAACAACACACTTCTAACAGTCTGGACAAAGATGCACAGGGAATTCCCAGGTGCCCACACGAGCAACGTGCACGAAGAGAGAGGAGCACTCCGCAGGTCGTCGTGTGATTCGCGAATCCAGAGGCAGACGGCCCGCGTTGCGTGACGCAGTTGCCGAAACTGCGGCACAGGTCTCCCTCCATCAGTCACGTCGGGGCCTTGAAACGGTCTCTTATGGTGGGACAACGAAGCCAGACCGGGTCCGCGACTTTCTACGCAGCTCCGGCCCGGCTGGCCCCAAAAAGAACACTGAAGAGGTCGACGTCGGCTCGGTTCACTCTGACTCCTCCCCTTCTCCAACCCTTCGTGTCGAGCCAAGTTTGTTTATCCTCTGGTTTCTATGAATTCACGGATGTATAGCCATGGAGCTCCCATTCAGGGACGTGTTTACAATTGGTACGATAAGATCCTAGGTGGAGTGAAATCTCTTTTTTCTCAATGGTAGCAGTTAAAGTACTTGTCCCTCAAGGTTTAACGAAATTAATCAACCATAGAGATTTGTAGCATATCAGATCATCAGGTAGCATATTTTGCTTTCTCGATTAGGTCCTGTGGTTTGGCCAATATCTAAGTGATTCCTAATTAAAGGCGGAATGGATAGTATATCAGGTCATCAGGTAACATAGTTACCCTTTTTACTTGGATCTTATTGACAACATCAACATTATTTATAATTAAAGTTAGACTTACATAGGTTACCAGGTGATGAGTAACATGTCCAGCTTTCATGATTTGTATCGAGGGTTCAACGTTTATCAAAATGGTCCCTAGCTAAACATGGGGATATAAGGTACCAGGGTAATCATAAGATTGAACGATTCCTAAAATGGCTCCTAATGAAAATCAACATTATTTATAATTAAAGTTAGACTTACATAGGTTACCAGGTGATGAGTAACATGTCCAGCTTTCATGATTTGTATCGAGGGTTCAACGTTTATCAAAATGGTCCCTAGCTAAAGATGGGGATATAAGGTACCAGGGTAATCATAAGATTGAACGATTCCTAAAATGGCTCCTAATGAAAGTTGGAGAGATAAAGGGTACCAGGTCATAACTAGTGATTTTGGAGTTTTTTGAAACTCCAAGGAATAGTCTATGTTCTCAGTGCCAGTTAGATACCCCCAAGAAAAAGGACACCATCGGCAGGTCTATTCCCGAGTCATTAAGGTGCCCGCAGGTCGCTGTTACAACCGTAAACCCTGATCGATCGCACAGAAGCACATCGGCCAGGTGTAATATGTATCACGTTATCTTCGTGTTCTACAGCGAACGTCGCAAAAAAGTTAGCGCTAGAAGAGATCTCTGGGCTAAATCTCGCCAGCATTCTTTCAACCGTCTGGCCACGGTGCCTGGAAAAAGAGGATTCCAGCTGGAGGATGATAGGTGGTGGCGGGGAGGAGAGGCGAAATTACAGTGCGGTTTAAACCCGCCACTAGCCGCGGTAATGCACGGTAGGACACGAATAAAAGCTAATGTGGGATTCGAGCACAATGTAATTCTATGGGAAATGAAAATGGAGAAATGAATCGGGCGGCTGACAGTTTGCCGAGGGAAACGCGTTGACGCGGGGCGGCGATTGTCCAAACGGGGATCGCCGTTAAAGAACGCGTGGAATTTATATCTTGGCTGAAGTTTTATTTATATACAGGGTGGTCCGATATTACGAAACTGATCTTTGATTATTAACCTATTATTAACTTGGATTCTCGATTTATTTTCTTTGCATAAGATATTGATAAGTAATTCTGTTATACAGGGTGACCCAATAAGAACAACTATCTAAAATAACTCATTACCTATTAATTGTATCAAAAGACGTTTTAATGTATTATATAACATTTCAAGGGACGCATCGGATAGACACA